TACCCACAGTCATTCACAGTAACCTGAGAAGGCTATTTGCCTGCGCTTGTGGTGATCTGCCGGTATGTGTGTAACTCTTGAAGGCTGCTTCCCTGAGATGGCTCCAGGGTGGTTGGGGCTTGAATAGAGCAGGGGTCTTGAGAATAAAGGTTTTGTGGTCAGCTTGCCTGACTAGAGGGTCAAGATTTTGCTGCCTGGAAGAGTATAAATCAAGGGGAGAAAGGCGTGGGAGCAGCTTGAACTCTGAAGAGCTGGTTTTTTGAGGGTCCTAAAACTTTGACTCAACCCCCAAGGACAGCTGACCTGCCATCTTGCTGATCAGCCACAAGGAGAATGGAGGGAGAAAGTAAGGTTTGATCAACTCCACCCTCTATCCTATGCTAGGATTAAAACAAAGCCCAGCCAAACACAATGCTATGGTAAGTCAGTAGAATCATGTTCCTACCTAACACATGTCTATCGGCAGTGAGACTGAGTCTCGTGTTTAAATTATGGCAATGTCTCATCACTTTACGCTCCCAGGATATACATGTGCCATTTTTCTGTGACACACTAGTGATAGCAAAGGCTGTCCTATTCTGTTTAACCACAAATGGCGGGCTATGAGAGCCCCAGAACATCTCCAATCTCTCCCAGCTAGTTCTGGACATTCCCCAGGAGAACCAAGCACGTGCTTCTAGGAAGCCCTCCTGACTCCCCCAGACAGCTTGTGAATCTGCAGTAGCAATGGCGTCGCGCCCTCTGCACTCCTTGGAGGGTCCGTGGCTGTGTGTGTCGCGCAGGTCACTGACACCGACGGCAGGATTTTCCGGTCGCTGCTGGGATGTGCTTTAGCACTCCCCATAAATGGCTGATACTTTGTCCCATGCTCTCAGTAGCCTGTCAGTACAGTGACAGGGCTGTGCTGCGGTAGGGGGGCCTCCTGTATCCCTGTAGCTGCTTTCCTCATTCCCAGGTCACCTTCTAAGGGCTCATCTCCTAAGGGTCCCTTCTCAAGTCTGCGAGGGGCTGGTCAGACATACAGTGGCTGTCCGCCCAGCCTCCCCCAAAATGATGAAAGGCCACGTTATGTGGCCCGAATCTGTGCGGTCTACCTGGGGGCGACTTCCTCCTCCTAAACAGTTCACTCCTCAGGCAAATAAAACCCCACAACGAGCCCACCTGATCACCCCCACTCCCAGATATACCCAGACACATCTGATCTTATGATGGGCACTTGGGCTTCTTGGCACCCTGGTTTCACAGATGAAAGACTCTAAATACTTGCCTTTTTTTTAGCAATAATTTAATCTGAAGTGGATTAAGGCAGGATATAGCATCTTTAAGCAGGGCAGTACTTTTTCACATGGGCGTGTTTCCAAGGGACAGAGTCACTGCGTGGAGTTTTCCAGTATGACAGCCCTTCTGCGGGGGAGGCAGCCTGCTGCGACGGGGAAGGATATACAAGCAGAAGCACAGCGTTGGGTTCTGCCCCTTTCCACAGCAAAGTAGCATATTTCACACCCTCCCACTCCACCTGCCAACGTTAGAATGTCCTCAGAGGCAGGCCGACTCCATCTTTCTGTACATCTAGACAACTCAGCTCCCTGAACTATTCCCTGTTCCTGTAATTTTGCAAAATGAAGCCTTGAAAAATTATTCCCTAACACATGGAATGTTCCAACATAACAGAGGATGCTACCGAGCTGGATTAGAAATCGGCCACCTGGAGGCAGATCATTTACTCAATCACCAACCACCACAATCATCTTTTCCTTTCCTGGCTCCTTTATTCACATTCTTACCCTCCTCTCTTTAGAGCCCTGATTAAACTTCACTTCACCGTGGTTTGGTATAGTGGGGCATGTGTCTATCGGTTTTTCATGAAAACTGCTCAAATGGCCATTTCGAATGCTAATGGTGGAAGAAGATTGGCTCTGTTAGGGGAGTATACAATTGGTATTTCTCTGTTGCTTGCAAATTCAAATGCTCTGACAGCAGGAAAAGGAGGAGAACCTGAACATGGTGTTCCTAGAAGACTCTGTCCTCTGTGGTTGTAATTAAGAGGAGACACCGGGGGAGGTTTGCTAGACCATATGTGAATGCTGACCAAGGACTAAAGTAGCTAGAGCAAACAAAGAACTCAAGCAACTTTATTTGCAGCCAGCAAACCTGTCTGTTTCGTGTGCTATCCCAAGAGGGCCATCTTTATAGAACAACATGCCAATAAAAGGAATAGAACAGAGCAACAGATGCCACCCACTCCAGCACCCCTGAACCTTCCTGCCTCTTGGTAACATACACATTTTAATCATCACCATCTGGAGACAAGGCTCCTTTCCTGGTTGCCTAACTAGGAGATCCAGCAGTTGGAATTCCAGACAGGAATTCTGCAGTGTGGGATGGCAGTGGTATTTGGAGATGGTACAGTTGCAATGTCTCTTAAATTATTTCGGAGAGGCTGTTTTCATTCTTCTTATACTTTGTGTTGCCCTGATCTCAGTTTTACTTCATAATTTTTCAAGAAATGTCTGAGAGGCCCCAATCCTATACCCAAACAATCTCTCCCCACACTGCCTTTCCTGCCTGAAACCTAGGGCCCACTGACCTCCACACCAGCAAGCTCAGCCCACACCAGTTCCCAAAGCAACCTTGGATTGCTTAAGCAACTGGAAATCCAAACCTACAAATCTAGTGTGTAACCCATGATTTGATGACTGAGCAGTGACCCTGATTACTGGCTGCCATGTTCCATCCTGAAATTCCTTTACTGCAAATTTGACTGAGGTATCCCAGAGCTATACACTGAGATCCTGTATCCCTAATAATGGCTGTCCTCTAATGAGTATTTATGGTAAGGGCAATCCTTTAATTCTGACAACAGGCACTTTTACCATCTTTATCTTAAAGATAAGAATACTGAGGCCCAAGAGAGGCTGTATAACTTCCCCAAGCGAGTATAGACCTGGTACTGGGAGATGAGTATTCTGGGAATTAGACTCTGCAGGCTATGATTCGGCCTCAGGAATTATGCTTGGAGCCACAGTCTGGACTTTCAGTTCAACACCTGTTCTGAGTTTCCACTTCATCATCCATCTAGCCCCACCTCTTACCAGGTTTCTGTTTAGAAACAAATTTGTCACCATGGCTGGGACCCCGTACACCAGGTTCATCTTGCCTGGCCTTCCATGCATCATTCACTGGAATTTTCTATTGCCATTTTCCCCTCCTCTGGGGACATCTGCATACTTAAGGTGGGCCCCTGGCATCGTCTGTGAGCCTTTCATCACTGGAAGGTGCCCTTGGATAAAGCAGGGAATATACTCCTGATGCCCCTTGTTTTCTTCCTGAAACCTCAGCTGTCAGCCAGTCCTGCCTTTAAGTGCACCCTGTCCTGGGCAAGTCTAGGGCTAATTCCTGACCACATTCTCCATCATCTTTCTGAGACATCACAGCCATACCTTATGAATCCAAAGATCTAGTCATGAGCACCGATCATCTGGAAGCTGCTTCCCATTAAAATATCACAGATTGGTAGGAGTTAAACTCTAATAATTGAAGAGGGAGTCTGAGAGTTCTTTCTTGTTGTTTAAATGTGCAATTTGTAGAGATGAAAAATGACAGCAGGGAGGTCAGGGCCATATAACATGCTTGTTTAAGGACACTTTCAGCTGTGTTTAAAGGAGCTCCATAAGCACTGCTGGCATGGAAGTTCTCTATCTGCACAGTTCCTTGTTTGTGAGAGTCAGGAGCAAAGTGGGCCATGGGCCTGAGGATGCCTGTGTTGTAGCAGCCCTGCTATCAGGGTCCACACCAGGATGTGGTGGGAAGCCTGCCCTGTGCTACACTGGAGGGCTGCAACATGTGCCCTTAATGACTCTCAGCACACATGCACACACCACAAACATATGATTCTACAAACATCACACACATACACACACGGACATATATACCACATACATCACACACATATATAAACCACACCACATATACATATCACACATATATGCATGTGCCATATGCATGCCAAATATAAACACACCACACACACACACACACACACCATGCACATATATGCATATGTCGTGCAAATGCACCCTCTTTCTTGCTGGATTCTTAAGGCTTACACTGTTCCCTTACCTCTCCTGACTGACACAGAGGACCAATTCTACCAAATCATTGCTGAAATAGAAGTCTTGTTCCTTTGGTGGCTGTGACAAAGGCATCACCAGGGCTAGAAGCACATGCTGCAGTAGAGGTTCCACCCGGTATTCCTCTCCTGATACAACCTCCTTGGCCCAGAGAAGCTTCTGAAGCAATCCCAAAGCTCCTGGACATTCTGGTTACATAGATTCCCCCACTTGTACAATTTGGTCCATAAGTATTGAACATCAACAGAAAACCCTAACTATGGGTCTATTCGGAGATCATCTCCATTGGCAGTGAGTGACTTTAGGCATCCAAACCACTGGGTTCCATTAAGAATTATTCTCTTGTACCTAATAACCTTGGGATAAAGTATTCATTCACTGAACAACCATTTGCTGATTAGCTATGTTAGGTCACTGAGGAGGACACACGTAAATGACTCAGATGGCCTGAGGCCTCGAGGGCCCACTGCACAGTTTGCCAGGTGCAGTAGCAGATGCAGCTGGCAGCCTGCTCATACCACTCAGCATCCCCTGCTGCGCAAGACAGGCTTCTTGCTGTGGGTATCTGCAACTGTCAGCTGGAGGGATTTTATTTTCTGGCCAAGTCTGCTTGGCTTGAATGTAGGGCAAAATAGAAATGCCCAAGAATCATTTTCCCTGGAAGCAGCCCTCCAATAAAAAAATGGCAAGGCTTTGGTGAATAAATACCCCAGCCTCCTTGACCTTGGTTGGGATAACTGTATTCAACATTTTCTTCAGTGGGGGTTGAGCTCTGGTCCTCCACGGCAGCAACTGAATTGATAATGCATCTTTGATTGATTTTCTTATCTTCCAGTATTACTAACCCCCTTCCCTATTGGTGATTCCTGGAATTACCTCTCACCTACACAACTCACATTTGAATCCCAGTCTCAGAGGATTCCTTGTCTCAGAATCAGCTTCCAGAGGAACCCCTAGCAAGTCAAGAGCTAAAACATATGCACAGATAGTTACAATTCTAGAAGAAATGTGGTAGATGACATTAGAGTGCTTCACCTAAAATCCTATGAAAATTCACAGGAAGAGAGAATTCCTTTGAGTTGGGAAATTAGAAAGGACTTCATGGAGCAGAGTCATTAAATGGGGAGTAGGATTTGGGTGTGCAGTGTTGGAGCAAAAGATGCTCTACATGGAGCTGGGTAAGCAGAGGCCTGAGGTCAGGAAGTGAGTAGCTATGTTTGATAAGAGTTCAGTCTTACAGGAGCATCACATGAAGGAAAACAGCAGCAGAGGGGTCCAGCAAGGATAGTTTTAAGTCCTAGAGCCAAAATCAGAAATTTTTATCTAGTTATGTAGGCCAGCTCTGCCCAATAGAAAGGCCCACAGTGATGGAAATGTTGTATATAATGAGCTGTGCAATATGGCGGCCACTAGATACGTGTGGCTATTGAGCAACTAAATATGGCTAGTGCAACTAAGGAACTGAATTTTTAATTTATTTTAACTAATTTACATATGTCATATGACATAAGTTGCATATGGCTAATGGCTACTATTTTGGGAAGTGCATTTACAGATAATGGAATATGACATGATGAGGAACATGCTTTGGGATAAATAATCTGAAAGCTGACTCTAAAGTGGACTGTAGGGAGAGCACTCTGGACATAGAGAAATGAAAGATGAGGCAGGGTCAATATCTAGGTCAGTGTTGTTTTCTTCAGATTAAAACAAAAATCCACATAAGACAGATAAAAGTAGAACTGACCTTGTTAAAATGAAGAGGCAAGAATGGACCTTGCCAAGGGAACTCAACACTTTCTTGCCTTCCCACCTACAGAAGTCCCTACTGAGTCTCCCTGGAAGTGCCAGGAGCTGCTCAGAATTCAGCTCATTAATCACTAGGCCACATCTAAGGTAGCAAGGAGTTCTACCAGGGTAGTGGGAATGAAGAAGAGGAATAAATCTGGGAGACGTTATGCATGTTGAATCAACAGATCTTGGCATCTCATTGGGTACAAGAAGGAAGGTTTGTGCATCTGCACATTTATTCTCTTATTCATTTAAGCCCAACCCATGGTGTTATCTGGAATTCTTCCCCATTACTCAGTCATCACAAATACAGTAAGTGCACAAAATAAAATGTATTGAATGGACCAGAATTAACAAGCACAATGCTACATAGATATTGAGTTCTGGGAATAATCCAGGTTAATGTCCAGGTTCATTGATGCCAAGGGTTCCCCTGCACTTTTCTGTCCAACCCCCACCTGCACCCCCGCCCCTGCCTGCACCCTATGCCCAGGATAATGCAGTCATAGAAGCCAAGATAGGGGACTTGCAAGTAGAGTTGGACAATCTATGATTTTTAACACAGAAGCAAGTTCAAGGAGGGAAAGACAAGTGGCTATTAAAGTTGGGAGATAATTTCAGTTAGAGTTAAGAAAAGGAAGGTGGTTTCAGAAGTCAGAGTGCCAAGATTTCAGGGATTTAGTATAGTAAGAAAGGAAGGTGTGAAAGGGACGGCAATGGATACAACGACTCATTAGCTTCTTGGTAAATAGAAGGAAAGGGGTGGAATACACTTGGAATACTTAGTGAGGTGCCTGCTGACTTATATATTCTGTATTAACAACACCCAGTATCCTCTCAAAGGAAGTCCATGGTTGTTGGTCACCCTTCTTAGAACCAAGTAGCCTCATCACCGGGTTGACAGGACCAGAGGTAGACAACCAACAGGATTAGCCATCACTGGTGGCCAAGGGAGTGGCTGGCAGAAGAGCTGTCTCCAACCGAGGCTGCCGACTGTGCAGGGTACTCATCCTCCATGTGAACTCAAAGGCACCAGAGAGATGCAGGTGGCAGCAGGAGAAGTGAGGCAGAGACAGAAAGGGCAGATCACTTGGTCTCCTGAAGTCACCTGGAGCAGAGAACAATGTTTCTTCCTTGAGGAAACAAAATGACCAGATCCTTGGAGTTTCATGATATCTTGAACAATGTTTCATTCCATACAATGCCTTGCCAGGAGTGGCTGAGAGCTGGTCTTCTTTCCCTTCCCTTGCATGCTTATGATAAAAACAGAACAACATGACAAATGATTTAAAGGAATCCAAGGACAATTCTGTTTCTTGTGATCTGAAAGAACATGGGCAACACATGGGATTAGTCATTAGTCTTAAAGACAGATTAAGGCAGAAGTACTGATGTCCTTGAACATTCTCAGGGTTCCAGGTTCTTAAGGAAGAGTCTCCAATGGCCACAGTCTCAATGGTCTCATCTTTAGAAAAATTACAGCAAATTTATATTTGCCCACAGATTCTCTGGAACAGTGCCCTCTTCCCTATGGCATAGCTTTAACTTAAAGGGATCAAGGTCACCACAGCTAAAAATCACAACCTCAGTCCTTTGCAGGTTTTTGCCTAAAAATAACAAATAAGCTAAATCTTCCCTGTTTGGACTTGGAAGATAAATAATAAAAAGTCAGGACTTGAAAGAGAAAAGCAATCTGAGAACTCTGGAACTGAAATATATCTTGGAGACTGTTGTGGTCTGAATCGTATCTTCTCCAAAATTCATATTAATATGTTGAAGCCTGAATTTGTTGGCTGAATTTGGAAACAGGGTCATATGGGTAAGCCCAAATCCAACCTGACTGCATGTTCTTATAAGAAGAGACATTAAGGACAGAGACACACGCAGAGGAAAGACACTGTGAGGATACAGGGAAAGGACGGCCATCTGCAAGCCAAGGACAGAAATCTCAGAAGAAACCAACCCTGCCAAAGCCTTGATCTTGGTCTTCCAGCCTCCAGAACTGTGAGAAAGTAAATTTCTGTTGTTTAAACCTCCCACTGTGTAGTACTTTTCTATGGCAGCCTTAGGAGACAGGGACCATCTAGTTTAGTGAAAGGCTTAGTCCTTTCGTTTTACTCCAGAGGAATCTGAGTTCAGAATCACACAGCTGTGTCAGTGTTGAGTTCAAGCCTCAAGGGTCCTCATTCTCAGCCCACCTTCCACACACCTGAATTCGACTTGCATAAGTTTCCAGAAAGGAGAGAGACAAATAATAGAAAGAGCAAAGGCAGAGTTGGAATCTAGTCAATCATGTGAATGGGATGGATGGGAAAATGATTCTCTGACTCCATAGAGTCTTATAAAATCCTATGATTCTTAGGTTACCTTATTCCAAATGACTTTTAGTTGCTTTGCATTCTTATTCCCATTCCTAGCTTTGTTCCTAACTGGCGAAGATGATTGGTTGCAGACATTGCAACATGAATTCAGCATGATTTTTAAGTATGTGAAATCAAGTTGGACTAATGGGCCTAAACTTAACCAAGAAGGTCTTATTCTTTCCTTTGTGTTTACATCTCTGATTTGTTGATTCTCTTCCAGAGCCTCCTTTGATGAGCACGATCCGGGACAGCTGGGAAGTTCATGAGAGGGATGTGTGAGTATTTATAATTAAATTTTTAATTTTAGTTTCCGTTGTTTTCTGAGAGCACATGTTCTTTTTAGTTGTTTTTTTTTTGTTTTATTAACACTAGGGCCTCAGAATGTCAAACTAATTTTCTCTCAATCCCCTGTTAGTTTCAGATAACAAGCTTTTAAAAGCACAGCTCTGTTCGGTGTGGGAAGCCTTAAGACTCATTGTCTTGTGGCTTTCCTGTCCCTGCTATACTCTTGTGGTTGTCATTTCCTAAGGTGTCCTAAGTCTCTGATTTCCCTCTTTGAGTGGTTGACTTCTATTTATTTTACTTAGAGATAAGGCCAAGCTTTCGAATCTGAATGAAGCATGGCTAACTGAGCTCAGTTTGTTGGGAAGAATGCCCGGATAATCCTGATGTCAAAAAGAAAGGGGAAAATGCCTAGAGACCGTTTTGGCCAGTCTCCGAAAACCCATGATGTTCTCCATGACTCTACGGATGAAATTCAAGCTTCTCCACTTTGTTTCCATGGATTCATGCCGTTGACACAGGGCCAGGCATTGTGCTGTGAGCCTGATAGCTTGTGACCTAGACTCTGCCTGTCGCAGATACCAACATATGCAACAGGGACCACCAATCTGGTCTGCGTGTATTATCTGTGATTATTCTGCTTGCGAATGCCACAAACCAGAATTCTGGTGGCTGTGAAAACTGTGCTTTACATTCACTCTCAGTAAATGCAGAAAAAATAAAAACAGATCTGATTCATAAGCAACAGTAACACAAAGGTAGTGCTCGCTTAAAGACAGGATTCAAAACAAAACGATCTAATCAAGGCTTTTATGTTGGCACCATGGAATTGTTTCACTGCCAGAAAGAATCCATTATGAAATAAAATGCATTTAATTGTTGGGTTCTTTATTGTTTTTCCTTTTAAACAAATCTTTAGAGCATGTTTTACTTGAAGTCTGACCCCTGAAAAATTTTCTCAGTTATATGGTTACCAGCAGGTGATATAGTAATTAAATATAATATTAAGCCTTTTTATTTAGCTATTAACAATAATAAACAAATGCACTTTTTTACATTTAGGAGTAGGGACTCTTCATACTGAATTCTGTTGATACAACCTATATACCCAGACACAAAGATAGTCTACTCTGCCTAATTCTTTATTAATCTATGGCTTTCTGCCCAATAAAGTGAAGTTATAAATTAAAGGAAAAACTGCCTTCCTTGGATTTTATTAATCACAGGCCTTGAGGAAAAGACAGGCAAAGTTCTGTTGCTTCTATTTGTAGTTGCTTAAACCACTTTCGGAGAACTTTCTTCAATGCATGGCTCAACATTTTGGAACTCTGGAGAGAATTCAGGGAAAGTGAGCACAAGTGATAAATAATTTGGAAATGAAGATCAAAAAGAAAGCAAGAGGAGAACCGGGAATGTTTAGTCTAGAGAAACAGAGAATGAGTAGAGACATACTTTTCCTAACTGTCATAAACAGGACGAGAGCAATTCTTATTTTTCACCAAAGGGAAAGAAATAAGAACAAGTAAATATAGGCAGAAGCAAGAGATTTGATTTTAACTACTGTAATTTCTTTGTTTTTTAAAAATAATGGAATGCTTAGAATTATCCTAGAATAACTTCAGAATGCTGTTCCACAGGTCAAGTTGGAGATTAAGAATGTAGCAACATCCATCAAGTGGAGTAGAGAATTAATGTTATCCACATAACACAGAGTCCAGAATACTTTTTGTTGGTAATTGAAGTAATAATGATGTTTGGCTCCTAACAGGGATTTAGCATTCCTCACACATTGGTCAAATACCTTTCCAGGTCACTCACCGAAGCATTTATGATCGCTAACACAGCGTGTTCCCTACATGGGCACTGTTCTAAATGCTTTACTCATAAGTTCATCCTTCAAACAGCCATATGAGGTAGATGCTGTTATTTTCCTCTTTTTTCAAATGAAGAAACTAAGCCTCCCACCCCCACCCAAGAAAAAGAGTTGAATTATTTTCCCAGAGTCACACCTTGAAATTACAAATAAATGAGCCAGGATTTGAACCTGTGTCTTTTGAGAAGCAAACGCCAAGGTGAGATTAGGCAAGCATGAGATTTATTGGGAGCCACACCTGTGGAGGATAAAAGGGACAGAAGCAGGAGTGGACGGGGAAAGCCTTCAGACTGAGACGCAGGTGTGAAATCTGAGAGAGGAGAGAGGGAAGGAAGGACTAGGTGGGAAGAGACTCCCACAACCCACAGGTCTGAGGACATCTTGGCCAGGCCGATGGGAGGGGAGTTCAATGGACGAAGGAAACTGGCATGGAGCAGGAATGGCCTGGTTTAGTCTGCCCATGTTGCCAAGTCGCTGGCTGGGAGCAGTCTAGAACTGTGGCCTGCCATGAATGCTGTGGGGTGTCCCAAACAGCAAGTGGGGGCTCTGCCCCCTGCAGTAAGTTCTTTGGAAGGGAGATCCAAGTGGGGCAACATAAAACCTGAGGTGTCCAGCACATAGCAGACCTTAATCGTCCTCTTAGGCATTTTTTGTGAGCTTCACACTTTAAGAGTGTGCAGTGAAGGATGTAACCCTGCCATAATGAAAGGTTGAGGTGGTAAAGGGACACATCATAGCAAAGCTCCAGGGAGTTTCATACACACGGAGTATATTATGAGCAGCGCCCCTGAGGACCAGCCAAGCAATGACTGGTAGCAAAGAGCTGGCTCCTTATCTTCTAATCCAAACACACTTGTAAGTTTGCTCTGACACACCTTCATGATGTAAACTCTCATAGAACTTCTCAGCCAATATTTAAATATTTATTCAACACTTATTAAATGCAAGGTGCTGTCTTAAGTGCAGTGGGAAATACTGTACTAAGATCTAAAAGCCTCAACCTTTCCATCCAGTGCTTTACCCACTAAGAAAGATGGCATTCATGTAAATAACCATAGACATATGAGGAAGGATGAGAAAAAATTGCCACACGAGGCACAGATATGGTACTGTGGCAGTTTGGGAAACTGCCTGTTGGAAAGATTGCAGAAGATTGATTTCATGAGGGAAAAAAGCAATGATATAGCTTCCTCAAATGCAAATAGGGTACCTTTGAGGAACTTAATATTTATTGCAATGGGAGGAAGAAACATAAGCCTGTCACAGAAGTAGGAAGCTGAACATTAAATGACAATATCACGATTCTCATAAAGATATAAGAAATCTCTCTTTTAAAAGCCCAGACCTCAAGGGAGATAGATATCTATTAATCTGTTTTATCATAAGAAGAAACAAAGAGATTACTTTCTACCTTTATTCATTTTCTAGGGCCATTATAACAAAGTACCACAGACTGGGTGGCTTAAAGCAATGGAAACTTACTGTCTCACAGTTCTGGAGGCTGGAAGTCCAAGACCAAGGTGTTGGCAGGGCTGTGCCCCACACCCCAAAGCCTGTAGAGAAGGATCCTTCTTTGTCTCTTCTGGTCCATGGTAGTCCCAGGTCTTCTTTGACTTGTAGATGCATCACTACAATCTTGGCCTCCATCTTTACATGATGTTCTATTTCTGTGTCTGTATCTTCACATGGCCATGTTCCTTCTGTGCCTCTGTCATTTTATAAAGACACAGTCATACAGGATTAAGAGCCCACCCTAATTCAATGTGATCTTGTAACTAATTGTGACTGTAATGTCTGTATTTTTAAGTAAGAGCCACATTCTGTCGTACTGGGACTTAGAACTTCAACATATTTTAGGGGATACACAATAGGACCCATAACATTATCCTATTGATTAAACCTTGGTACTATTATTTGCTGTCTTATGAAATTTAATTTTGCATGTGCAATAATGTGTTTCTCAGATTTCCTAGGTACTGAGAACTGTGCACTGAAATCCAGCTTAAAGCGCTACATATTTATATCACTAAATCAGTATACATGTCTCTACATTAAAATATAATATTGAGACTTCTGAACAAAGTCCTAGAATAATAGAAATATTTTTCAGACATTTTACAGAAACATCACTGGTTTTTGGTCTTCCCAGATAGCCTCACACTCAAGCAATCTGTTAAAGTTTCCTATACATTCAGGGCCGCTTCTACATGTAGCCATTTCCAAGGTAAGAGTTGAAGTGTTAACTCCAGGCTCAGACTCTTTTAGGTCGCAAGAATCTGTCCCTTCTTCCTTGAGAAACAGAAACAACAAAACATCTTTCACTATACTAAGCAGATGGAGGATACTAAGGGTGGTGTCTAGATGTACCTAAGGACAAGCCAATAAACCAGTTTAAATATGGAGTTACCTATTTTGGGCAGATTGTGTTTTTCAAATATTTCTACAGAAAAGCATATCCCATCCCACATGCTTTACTTATAATGTGATGTCAACACTCCTCCACTGAGAGGTAGGAGCCTAAATCCCCATCTAGGATGTGGACGGAGTTTAGTGACTGACTGACTGACTGACTGACTGACTGACTGACTGACTGACTGACTGCTAATAAACAGAATACCCTGGAAGCAAAACTAAGTGACTTCCAAGACAAGGTCATAAAAGGTAATACAGTTTCTCCCTTGGTTCTCCCTCTCCTTCTCCCTCTCCCCTTCCCTTGCCCTCTCCCTCTCCCGTTCCTTCCTCTTTCCCTCTCTATTTCACTCCCAATGCACTCACCTTTGGAACCCAGGTGCAAGTAGAGGTATCTGAGTTGACAAAACCAGCTAGTTTCTTGGCCAACAGCTACACTCAACCTCCACACAAGGGCTTGAAGAAGCCTTCAGATAATTCCAGCTGAGGCCCCAGCCATCACGGAGCAGAGACGAGCTGTTCCCGCTGTGTTCTGTACACATTCCTAACAGAGTCCAAGAACATAATAAGTGGTTGCTTTATGCTGCTAAGTTTTGGAATAACTTATTGCACAGCCATAGTCACTGGAACACCATACATCCAGCAAAATAACAAGCATGAAGCTAGATTCTTAGGTGTCATATTTGTTGATGTTGCTAGAGTTTTATCCTAACCTCTGAGAAAGATAAACTTTTAGAAGCAAAGAGGCCCTTAAAACCTAAGTTTCAGGCTGTCAACATGCTAATGCATTTTGTGCATTAGCATGTTGTGCATTAGCATGTTTCCCTTTGGGGTCCTGCTTTTTAAACTGTGGGGAACCAAGCAAATGCTTAAAGCCCTTGAAATTCATTAATATCAGTTTCATCTGATAAGCACATGCAGAATATTAATTAAATATTTCTACCAAGAGAGAAGCTCATTCAAGGTAACCCTAATTTTTGAGATTTTAAATTTGTTGGGATGACTAACAAACTTTGTCTTACTGTTGGGGAAAACTTTCCCTCCCTCTCTTATTTCTTCTCTCTTTGGTTTTCCTTCCCACTCATTTTCCTTCTTTACTTCCCTTATTTCTTTTTGAGTGGCTTTCACCTGTATACAAATGGCAAAGATAGATGAAAAAAACTAAGGGGGAAAGAATGAACTAATTTTTAATTAAAGTTATTATTAGCATGTCATCTAGTTAAAAAATAAATTATATGTGGGCCTTAGAATTTGCCACCTCTCCTACCTGGGTATTATTGAACTTTTCAGTTGAAACAACACAAGTATCTTAAGCTCTCATTTGAAATATATAAAACCTCCTAATTAAGTGCAATGATGCATTAACATGGAACTCAACTGACCATTTTAAATCACAAACTTGACATCTTCAATATCACCACCCAAGACCTGTAAAATGATAAATCTTTAAAAATGGATAGGAACTCAGAGTTTATCTAAGTAACCCTTTTATTTTCCCAGCCACCAGAGTGAAGTCATTTGCCCAAGATTAGAAGTTTGAGGCAGTCTTTAAATTCTGTATCTATCTAGTCCCCCTCATCCCATGCGTTGGTCTTTGGGAAATGGGTGGAGACAAAGGCCTTAGATTAGAAAGTGGGAGTTCAGGTCATAAGGTTGAGAACAGGGAGAGTCTGGTGGTGGTGGAAGGTTGGTGAGAGATCAAAGATGGGAATGGAAACTTACTGGTTTGGCTACTTACCATTTGTTTTTGTAGCAGTGTCTGACCTTTGAATTCTTTTTGCCATCTTATTTATGCTTCAAGAAAGTGCCACATTTCATACTCACTATACCAAAATTGTAGCAAAAATGTACAATTTCCTGTACATCTTTTGGTCCCCATACAATATATTTTTTTTATGTGTTGTCCTGATGACTCAATGGAATCTTCTTGGATCCAAGACTTGCTCTTATTTGTGTGGTAGAATCATGATTTTAAAAGTACACTATCCATATGTCAGAAGTTGTTCAATAATTGTTCTAAAATTGCAATGAATTTTATTGACTTTTTCTTTTTTGTGGATTTCTGTGTCTCCTTAGCTAATTGAATTTACATTTAATCATTCACTAAACTTAGAGCTATTTCATTTCAGGGACAAAACTTCTTTTACTTTCAGACATTTCCCAAGGTGAGTGAGGGTTTGGGGTGTTGGGAAGGTGTTTCCTTCTTTATGCTGGATTAAGCTTTGTAAAGCATTAACAAGTTTTAGATTCTTGTCTCTTCTTGTTTAAGAGCTGCTACAAATAATAAGTAGGAGAAATAGATATGGAAGCTATGACATTGTGAATATGAGTGCTGAAGACCATTGCTCTGTAATTTTAGGAATTTTAGGAAAAAAATTGTAGCACATTTGTTCAAATTTTATATTTTTATTACAGAAGTCAAAAGATGTGTTTTAGAATACAGGTGTCAAGCTTGGACCTCCCCTAGGTTTCATAGCTCCTGCTTCCACTTGGATCGTGTGATCAACTCTGTTATTGACACTGTCCCATGTCTGTAATCACACACCTTCCTGCATCACCAGGCTGATAGCCTGATGAGGTCACTGCCTTCAAGTGTACTATTAATAATATGCTTCATGGTCTCTTATCTTAAAACAAAACATACAAACAAACAAAACCCCTCCTTTGACTTACATCTTCTAGCTGCTGTCTTATTGCTCTTCTCCCTTTTCTAGCAAAATTCTCCGCAGTGTCATTTATGGGCTCTGTGTCCACTTCCTTACTCACCAGGATAGGACCTCAGTCCCCAGGACTCTGCCTAAAATATTCTTGTCCATGTCCTGAGTAACTGCCATGTTGTCAAGTACAATCACCCACTCCAAGTCCTCCTCTTACCCAGTCCCTCCCTCTGTCTCTCAGCACCCTGAATCACTTTTTGCTTTTTTTTTTTTTTTATTGAAAACTCCTATTTCTTTTCCTCTATATCTGTCTGTTTTTGCTCATACCTCCTGGCAGTTTTTTATGTCTTCTCTGTTGGAATCTCCTCTCCAGCTTAACCTCTAATATGTTGGAGAACCCCCAGGACATCGTTCTAGGCCAACTTCTCTACCTACATCGTCTCCCTAGGGAAATAATCTTGTCCTAAGGTTTGAGGGGTCATTGACACGCTGTGGACTCTCAGACTCTCCTTTTCATCCCTGACCTGTCTCCTGTGCTCCAGACTTAGATATCCAACTTTCTATCCAGCATCTCCACTTGGCTCACTCATCAGTAGCACAAGCACAAAATTAGTCTTCTGCCTTCCCACCTGCCCCTCTCCCATCCTTTCCCCCTCAGATAACATAATCCACTATTCAACCAGGAACTCAAGTCTTGATTTCTCTTTTCTTATTCACAAGTGAGCCTGGTGGCTCTATGTTCAAAGCATATTTCAAATCCGTCTGCCTCACCCTGTCTCCACTGCTGTCATGCTATCTAAACCACCGTCGTCACTTACTTGGATGACCGCAATTGCCTCTGCATGTCTTTCTGCTTCCATTGTTCCCCCTAAAATCCATTCCAACACAGCAAATGAAGGGAGGTTTTAAAAATATAAATCAGATGGTGTCATTCCAGTGTTTGAAATCATCCAGGTATTTCCTTTCCAAAAGCACTTAAGATAAAATGTACCACTTTCCCACAATTTATAAGACTCGAGTTGGCCCCTGTTGAACTCCTTTTCACTTTGTACCATTTTCTCCCTCTCTCCCCACCTACCAGCCACTCGGCTGTCTTTTTGGTCCTCTCATATGCCGTGATGCCTGCCACCTTGGAGTCCTTGCATATGCTTCCCCCGGCCCTTTGCATAACTGGTTCCTTCTTATTTCTCAGGTCTTATTTTACACGCCACTGCCAACCCCTTAGAGCAAACTTCCCTGAGGACTCTTTCAGAGGAAGTGACTCCTCTTGTCACCATGCCCAGTTCATTCCAATTAAAGCTCCTACCACTGGTTGTAATTATAGGCGTATTTGTTTTCCCATTTATCGTGTATATTGTCATTCAGCTTCCAAAAGATGAGAGCCAGTTAGAGCAGGGACTTGCTTGGTCTTGTTCATAGTTGTGTCACTGCTGCCTAGGACAGTGCCTGGCCACAGCCGATGTTCAGTAAACATTTGCTGAATGAATGAACCAGTTTTTAGATTATTCAAGCCATTTGTTTTTCCTTGATTGCCTGACAATCTACTACTTGGTAAAATATCTGACCATTAACATTAGTGGAAGGAACATGTTTCATTTTCAATGTAAACATGTGTTTAAAAAAGACATAGAATTTATAGAACAGATTAGAGGAAGATCTTTCCTTTTAAATCTTAGCTTGTAAGCAGTATATACCTTAATGATGGCAAATAATTAAAGGCTTAATTATGAGAGCAATCAGATTTTCACTAGCAAATATTAACACATTTTTTTCTATTTTTATATCCCTTTTGTAAATTTTATTTTATCTGAATTTAGAATGTAGTCATAGCTATGGAATCTGTTGCTTGGATGTAATTTTCAGTTATTGAAATTCTAGAAATGCTACAAAATTAATATTTTTGTTTATTTCAAATACATTCATTCCAAGACTATGTGATGCTGACTTTTCTTATTCTCAAGAATTACAAAATAAAGATACTGATATGGAATTTCTTGCTACAATGTCTTGGGATATGAAATTGTATCTATAAAACACTGATGTAATGCTATGAGCTCATAATATAAATGGATACTTAATCATCTGTGCTTTGTGGCACATTGTATCTTTAAAAATATTATTTTATAATTCTAAAGAAAAAATAAAACAAAGTTGCAACTAACAGGTGTGTTGCTTCAAACATACAGCTCAGCAATCCTAAATCCTGACTTGAGAAAATGCCACAAAAGCGTATGGCCAGGTTAAGATAGCACATTTACTAACAGAATAAATTTAGAAATCAATTTCAAAGGAGGAATAAAAGACAAAATTTTCTATAATATCCACTCCTATTTCAGGATAGAGTACTGACATTCTTTTTTATTTCTTAAATTGAAAGCCAAGGGCCTGAAATAAATAGATTATGAAAATGCAAATGAAAATATGTTTGAAAACTTTTAAAAGATAGCATATTTAACAGTCTAGAAAACAGAAGTGCCTCTAAAATGTCTAAGAAAAAAAGACAAGTTAAATATTAAACTTTGCTTATCAAGATAAAAGATCCAATGTAGAATATTCTTTTATTGGAAGACAAGAAAGAAAACAGAAAAAAGAACAAGAGAAAGGAAGATAGTTTGCTCAAGAGGTGCCATGTCTGAGCTAGATTAAGTGCTCTAACTCAATCTCTTGAGCTGTGTAATTAAGAAAATACTAGTCAGTGTTTACTAACCATTTCCTTTGTGTTTCCATACACTGCAAGGAGCTTCAGCCACGAAAGCATGATTGGGACTGCAGGGGCAATCAGAGCTCACTGGGAGGCTAAGCTCAGTGTGGCCTGGAAAAGCTGGGGCCCACTTCCCGGAAGGGGCTGGCCTGTAGCTACATCTTGCTGGACTCATACAGATTCTGATAGAGAGAGGAAGACGTGCTTGGTGAGGGAAGAGTGGGAAGAGAGACAAGCACAAAACAAAAAGAATACAGGAAAACTAGGTTAGACTTCCTTGTCTCTAGGAAAAAGGATTCGAACAGGTACCCTGATTCAAAGGGGACATTCAGAATAATCATAGAAATGGAATGGAGTGAAGCTATGGTGGGCTTGAACTGCGGCTGCCGCATGGGCAGACAGCAAGAGGCGTAAAAATATGCAAAATTGAATTGCATACTGGGAATCTCAAGCGAGGGTGATATCAAGGGGGTGACATTTTAGAAGGGAAATGCTTATTGGCATCAGGCTGGTGGCAAGGACTTAAGCTTGGAGTCTTTCCTCGATGCCATGTTTTTGCAATAAGGATATAAGGCGTAATAAATTAAATACCTGCACTCTGATGGTGGTACATGTAATGGAGATAAAGGAATCATTCCAAGAGGCAGTGTGAAGGGAACAGAAACAGACATTTATCAATATTGTGAGCTCTGGACTTTGCATGCAGTATTTTATTTAATTCTCATAGCAGCCCCTCCAAATAGGTATCATTCTTTCAATTTAGATATAATTGAGTCTCAGTGACTTGCTAAAGAAGCTGCTCAACAGTGGAACCAAGATTAAGAACCAGCAAATTGAATGAGTGATAGGTCAGGATGAATAAAGTGTTTTCATTTATTTGTTTCATAAAGTTGTGTTTCTATTTTTTTTTTTTTTTTTTTTTTTTTTTTTTTTTTTTTGAGACAGAGTCTCGCTTTGTTGCCCAGGCTAGAGTGAGTGCCGTGGCGTCAGCCTAGCTCACAGCAACCTCAAACTCCTGGGCTCCAGTGATCCTTCTGCCTCAGCCTCCCGGGTAGCTGGGACTACAGGCATGCGCCACCATGCCCGGCTAATTTTTTTTTTTTTTTTATATATATCAGTTGGCCAATTAATTTCTTTCTATTTATAGTAGAGACAGGGTCTCGCTCAGGCTGGTTTTGAACTCCTGACCTTGAGCAATCCGCCCGCCTCGGCCTCCCAAGAGCTAGGATTACAGGCGTGAGCCACAGCGCCCGGCCTGTGTTTCTATTTTTATTTTTATTTTTTCCTCCTAGGTCTGGGAGCCTAACATTGGTTTGTGTATATTTGCATGTCAAAGACAAGTACTGAGTAGGCAACACCAAAAGCAAAATGGGTTGAACAGTTTTGTTTTAGCTTTCATCTTTCAGCCTTGAAACTAAGTATTTGGTTTTATGTAAGTGAAAGATGAGCTCTTGATAATAAACAACAATCTAATAAAGATTGATATTGAGCAATTACTAGCTGGTGAAGGCAGGGGTACCCTTCACTAACTTTGCTCGCAGGGCGTTCATTTGGGTAGCTGTGGCCCCGGGCTGGAGAGTCATTGCAAACCGAAGGTCTCAGGAGCAAAGGGAGGCCAGCCCGTGCCTGCTGTAGGCAACGTCCCAGTGCTCACTGGAACCGGGGTAACCCACTTGGGTAAATTAAAAGCAGCATAGACTAAACTTGCAACACTAGAGTTAGAGAGTAAAGATTGGCTGGCAGTTGAAAATACAGCTCAAGTTTTAGATTCAGATTTTTAAAACTGGAACACTGTCTTTCTAAAGAGAAACAGAAGCTTGCAGTTTCGTTTCATTACCCCACTGCCTTTGAGCCATGAACTTCCCCCCACTTCGGAAACTTCTCTGGAAAATTCATTTCATGCTTGTCTACTCCAGTAAAACCCTCGACTGAACTGTTACAAAACAGGAGACTTGGCTGAGGGAATGTGAGGAATCATCCAGTACAGCAGAGCCAGTTGGCATCCTGGAGAGCCATGTGCCTCTGACCTTTGGTTTACCTGTAATCTTGGACCGTGACCCTCTCCCAGAAGAGGGGACTTTCTGATTGTTCCTGTGCCAGGTGACTGGCAAGAGGACGTAGCACATGCATCACATTCTTTGACACACTCTAAAACCTCTTAGGCTGAGAGAGGGCTGTAGGTGCTCTGACTTCAGGGCTCTGCAATTTTCAGCATCTTAGTAGCAATCTTAAAAGACATACTTGGTAACGATCAAATCTCATTGAAGGCCTCAATGTGTATTCTTTCTCTATAAGGACATGTCTCTGTCAGTTACCTATTGCTGCTAATGCTGCTCTTAAGCTAGTGTGCTAAAACATCCCTGTCTCCTCTAGTGTAGATTTTTTACCCCAAAATATTTGTATGGTTCCTTACTTCAGCTGCCACCTGCCCATTTTCCACCATGCTTGTTTCAGAACTTATCTCCTTTTCTCAAGCTCTTGCCCTCTCACTTTCAGAAAATGATCGAATTTCTTCTTGCCCCAAGAAAAGGCTTGGATTTTTAACAGGAATTTATTGAACATCCTCTATGAAGCAGGAATTGTGCTAAGTTCTTGCAATATAAAGACAAGTAAGGCATCATCTCTGCCCTGGATGGATTTATAGCTTGGTAGAAGTAGAGGTAGATAAACAAACAAAGGTAGTCAGATTTTGTAGGTGGATTCAATGGATAGATGTGCAGAGCACGGCGGGTGGTGGGGAGACATCAGTTCTACCTAGGAGGACAGGAGAAACTCCCTAAGGCCCACCTGGAATGAACTTCCCAAATTCTCTTCCCTCCACTCCCTACATCATCTGTAACTGTAGATATTCTTAACATCTTTCTTCCTATCTCAGAAGAAGTGTCTACTCTTTTTAAGGTTAACCCTTCACATGACTCTTAAAAATAAACTTCATCTTCCAATATAAAAGTGACATAAAAGAATTACAAAAATATTATAAACAACAACACAGAAAAATTTAAGAAAGAAAAATATCTCCCATTACCCAACCAACTTCTTAACAGTTCTGTAATCATTCAGTTTTGCATATTTTAATCCTTTTCTTTTCCTGTGTGTTTTAAACTCATTATAACCAGAACCACTTGTGTTCATTGCCCATCTCCTACCCCCTCCTTTGGGTCCTGACTCCTGATCCTGTATCTTTGACTGTCTCTCTCATTGGAAAGTCCCATTCACATTCCTACTCACTTAACTCTCACTCCTCCTGAAACAAAGGAAACCAAATCATCTCCTCAGCCGTTCTAGACTGTTCCTATGGATCATTCAGTAACCTGCTAATGAAGTTAAGCCTCTTTACTACTCCTGGCAGCTTTCCTCCTGAGTTCCTTAACTGTCTGTTTTCAAAGTCGGTTTTTCTTCTTTGATAACTCTTTCTACTTCCATCTTTTTCTTATGCCAGTTCCTCCCTCTCTGCCCACACTTTAAACATTAGTGAATCCCACAGCCAACTTCTCTCCACTCACTGAGAACTCTCCTCGGGCCTTTCCATAGTTTTGTGTGTCCACTGCGTCCTTCCAGATCTGTGTCTGTGGCCCAGATTCCTTGCCTGAACTTCAGCCTCGTTTGCAGCTCACTGCTGGCCGTGCCTACCCTAGACGCGTCCAACTCAACACCTACAAGCTGGACTCTTCTCAATATTCCTGAGCTTGGTCAAAAACATCACCATCCACCCAGTCGACCATGCCGGAAAAATTAACACCATCATCATATTCCTTTTTCTTCCTTGTCCCCTAAATTCTTCCTGCAAAATGTTTCTCAAATCAATCACTCATTCTCAATGTCACTTTGTAAAATCGGACCCTGATTATTTCTTGTCTGGTCTATCAGGTAAACTACTAACGAAGGCCCTGCCTTCCATTGCTTTTTAGAACTTTTTCTTCCATGCTATTTCACAAATTCCTTCTCTAGAATACTGAGAATGTTTTTAAATATCACTTTCTTAAGTAAAAATGATTGCTAATTTTCACTGCCCACATGACAATTCAGATTTCTTACACAGTGCTCAGGCTGTGCGTAATTTGCCCCCAATCTGTTCTTCCCACCTCATTTCTTTCCTGTGCATTCCCCATCCACCCTCCCGAGTGGCCACATGCAGTTACTGGAGGCTGCCCTGCTGCCCAAACATGCCGTGCATTCTCGTGCCTCTCAGGACCTGCTGCGGTTTTTCTCTCTGCGTAGAAATGCCTTGTGCATCTGCCAAAATCACACTCATGCTTCCAAGCCCAGCTTAAATCCCACCTTCTTTGTGACATTTCCCCAGCCCTTACTTTCTCCTGTCCCTTGGGAAACCAGTCACTCTCCCCTCTGTGTTCTCAGACCAGAGTAGTTCTCAAACCTGGCTGCACACCAGGATCGACAGAGAAGTTTTAAACAGATCTGATGCCCAGGCCTTACCTCCCACCTCTTCTGTCAGGATAGCGGAGGATAAGCCCTGTGCATTAGTAATCTTTAAAAAACTTTTGTTGTAAAATACATTTAACGTAAAATTTATCATCTTAACCATTTTTAAGTGTATACTTTAGAGGTCTTAAATACATTCATAATGCGCATCCATTTCTAGAATTCTTTACATTTGCAAAACAGAAACTCTATACCCGTAAAACAACGCCCATTTCCCCCTCCCCTAGCCTCACCACGTCTCTACGAATTTGGCTACTCTTGCTACCTCAGATAAGTGGAATCACACAGTATTTGTCCTTTTGTGGTTGACTTACTTTACTTAGCATAACGTCCTTAAGGAGCATCCATGTTGTAGCATGTGTCAGAATTTCCTCCGTTTAAGGCTGAATAATATTCCTTTGTATGTATAGACCACATTTTGTTTATGCATTCACCCGTCAGTGCACACTCGGGTTGCTTCTATGTTTTAGTTATTGTGAATTACACTGCCATAATGCGTACACATCTCTCTCCAAGACCTTGCTTTCAGTTCTTCTGGATGTATATCCAGACGCGGTATTGCTAAATCGTCTGGTAATTCTATGTCTACTTTTTTGAGGAAGCACTATACTTTTTTCCACAGCAGCTGCACCATTCTATGTTCTTACCAGCAGTTCATGGTGGTTCTGTTTTCTTCATATTCTCAGCAATACTTGTTACTTTTCTGGATTTTTTTTTTTTTTATAGTAGCCATCCTAATGGGTGTGAGGCATCAGGAAATTGTTAAATCAAAACTCAGGTGCTTAGAATTAGCTAAGTTCAAACCTTGATTTGTGGGCATCCTTGCTGACCATGCATGCCCTTTCTTTTAATTTAATTTTCATAATATAACATATACTTGTGACCCCACCACCTGATTTAAGAGCTAGGACATTGTCAGTAGCTTATCATCCGTGTGACCCTTGTCTAATGCGTCCATTTGCCCACACGAGAGGTAACCACTACCCTGAATTTTTTATGTCTTTGTTTTAAAATTTTTCATTATGTATATGCAAATGTATGTATACCTAAACCATATGTTATTTACTTTTGCTTGTTTTTGAACTTTATAAAAGATAAGTGTTTCTCCAGGCTTTGGCGTTTCCCCCAAGCTCCAGTCGATTCTCCTGCACAGTCAGGGAAAGCCACAATTGGGACACTTCCTACATGGCCTCTGTGCCAGCTGTCTCCTGGGGTCACCCCTGTGAACCGCCCGGCTGGCCTTCCTTTGCTCTGACTTTGGAAATCCTGCCTCCTTCTGGCCTTTGGGTCGATTTCCTGGAGGAGGTCCCCAGGCCCTGGTCTCTGATACATTCATCCAGGGTTTTCTGTTCTCTTGTTTCTCTGGGTTTTAAATTATTCTACTAAGCTCTTTCCCCAACTCTGAGCTTTGGATCTGACATTGTCTATCCTGTCTCTGTCCCCTTTTCAGTGTCATCTGTTGTCCCCAGCCCACCCCAATAGCATTTGTCGTTAATAACAGCAAAAGAGAACTAGTGAAGTTGCAAAGCCTAGGTATCTGAAAAACTCTGTAGAGAGAGGGACGAAACAAAAGAATTTTCCCTGGTGTCTTTAGCTCTGTTGACCGAGAAGGCAGAACTGGGTTTTATAGTGAAACCACAACAACGCAGAAATGGGAACTCAGTTGTCAGTGGGTCTCTGTCCATGTCCCAGAAAAGCTAGGTTCTTTGAAAAGATCAAGGAAGATGATGAATATAGGAAATCAAGATAGTGATTTCCTATAGTCACATATTGGGGAAATCACACAGGTCCACTGGAATAGAGCTGGGATATCCCTTCCTGTCATTCTTCGGCTGTCACATTAAAAATCTCTTCTCTCCGAGTAAGGTTTAGGTGTTTCAGTTCTACCAAATTCGACTACCAACGGACACACAGACAAGACTAAAGGAGCTGAAATAAATTGTTCTCTAAGTTACTACATTGGGCCCTGAAGATTAAGCCTGACGAATAAATGAAAAAGATAGTATGATATTTGTAAATGAAAAATTCCTAGTATTAGCAATGAATTATTTTGTATGGTTCCAATGAAAAGTATTATAACATCTTAGTGTTTGTCTCAGAAAATCTAAAAGATTCTCATTTGAGAACCAAAAGTTTGCTATTGCCAGAGCGAACTGGAAATCAGAGAGGTAATAAAACTGTCTTCTTGGAGATTTAAAGGTATTAAATAACATTTAAATATCATTTGTAAGAATTTTAAAATTCTTTCCTGTCCCCCAGTCCACCACCTATCAATCTGATCCTCAGGGATCTTTTTTTATTTTTTTGAGACAGAGTCTCACTCTATTGCCTGGGCTAGAGTGCTGTGGCGTCAGACTGGCTCACAGCAACCTCAAACTCTTGGGCTCAAGCAATCCTTCTGCCTCAGCTTCCTGAGTAGCTGGGACTACAGGCATGCACCACCATGCCCAGCTAATTTTTTCTGTATATTTTTAGTTGGCCAATTAATTTCTTTCTATTTTTAGTAGAGACAGGGTCTCCATCTTGCTCTGGCTGGTTTGGAACTCCTGACCTTGAGCAATCTGCCTGCCTCAGCCTTTTAGAGTGGTAGGATTACAGGCGTGAGCCACCGCGCCTGGCCCTCAGGGTTCTTTAGCAATAAAGAATTTGTATGTTTTGTGAGTTGGGTGGCCCAGAGCTCCCCGTGGGTGGCTCCCTCGCACACGTGCCTCCGCAGAAACAGGCACACGCTGTAGGTACATCCACACCCACGCAGCTGGCCTGGCCACAGCTGAGTCTAAAAGAAACCCTGGCTTTTAAGGTTGCTGTTTTCTTTTTCTTTTAGATCATGATCTTAACGTTGAATCCAAGGCTCAAACAAACATGAAGTCAGGGAAAGGCACAGCAGGGCAGTTTGAGGAGATTAGATTTCTTTAAATTACAAAAACAGTGAGAGCAGGAGGCCTTTAAAGTCAACATTTAATAATCTGAGTCACGCTCATGTTTTCACTCCTTGGCTTAGAAAAACAATATCGTCAGAGTTGACCTCAAACCTCCCCAGCAACGCGCGACACAGTTGGAGAGACGCGTGCAGACACCAAGCAGCATGTGACGAAGGCCCCTCTGCCCTCTGGATCCACGCCACGGCTGGAAGGGCTGACACTCTCGAGAACTATCTTCATTCTCTTCACTTGTAGAAAAACATTTAAGTAAGAACAGTTTATCAAATAATATTTTCATTTAATAATTTGTTTCACGGTTCACTGTTATGAACAACAAAAAAAATGAGGATAGGTGAGTAGATCTGCAGCCGAAGCTGTCCCTTCACTGTTTGCTCAGTGTGTGCGGTGCTTCCCAGAATGCAGTCCCAGGGCGGGCAGCCTCAGTCCCGCTTGAGAAGTTGTGAGAGACGCAGGTCCTCAGGCCCCACCCTGACCTGCTGCTGAATAAGAAGCTCTGGGGGTGGGAAACAGAAACAGGGGCTTTAACAAGCCCTGGAGGTGATTCTGATTCTGCTGCAGGCTCAAGGCTGAGGACCACTGGGTTTGTTCAATTCACTGTGTGAAAGACCACAAGCTGTGTGCGTGTATTAATAATAACCCAACCATACACATTGCTTACTGACAGGGCGGATAAACTAACAGGATCTCAGGAGCCCCTGACCCATATTCCTAGCATTTTTCTCATGCACAAGTAAAGAGAATAATGTGAAGATGATTAAGTTGCTTTTTTTTCAGCCAAGGCCCATTGATGTAAAAGGCATAAAATCAATTGAATGTCACATAAAGGTAAAATAAGAAACCCACTTAGGTTATCTTTTTGTTCTTTACAAGAAGAAATAGAACATATTTAATTTTGTCTTTTTCAGTTAACTATGAGGAACATAAGACAAAGCCAGGAAAAATAACTCAATTTTCTATTGTGATTAATTAAAAGAGAGACACCAGATTCTACAAAGAAGCTTATTGTCTTAAAGGGCAAAGACTTTCATTATATCTCTTTAACTCCTCACCCCCTTCCTTAGTCTGAAATGTGTGTCCAAAAAATATTCATTGAAATTAAGGCAGATGGTAAATAGGGGCAAAGGGAAGAAGGAAGAAGGGAAAAAATAGAACAATAACCCAGGGAGAATATAAACATGAGAGACAGAGAACAAGATAGAAACATACAGAGAAGGGAGACACCAAAGAGAAAATAGAAGAAAATGACAGAGGTAAAAAGCAAAAGGTGATACCTTGAGATACAAAGAGCTAACCTGCTTTATAAATGATACGAGCAAGGCTAATGCAACATTTCCCCTTTTAAAAATTATTTATGAAAATCCTTGTCCCAAAATGCTGGCCAAATATCCAAGACTGAGAAGTAGAATCTTAGGGCCACAGGATTCTCCCTAAAGGAAAGAACACCTCTTGTCAAATAGAGATGTTTAGATCTGTAGATCTGCACTGTGTTGCCATCCCAGCATGCTCAAACCAAGCAGGGTGGGGAGCCATGAGGAATGGAGCAGATTCATTTCTCAAGAGATGAGGGTGAGGGAGATTTGAGTTATTTTAAAATATTCTACTCTGCTGAGAATATTTCTCAGGGTTTCAACTGCAGCTGTTTCCCAGATATGTAACCATGGGAAACGTGGTTCAGTGGACCAAGGTGTGTGAATTCTCACCTTGAACCACAATTCACTGAAAACCTCTCAACTGGTCATGACCCTATGTCATGCTTGACTTCATCTCTGAAATGGGAACATACTGTAGTATTATACAGTGCAGACTAGATAAGAATAGTGTCCTGAGGACTTAAAAATGCAAGTGGTTAGCAGTTATAATGTCTTTTAAAATTCATGAATAGTGTTTTATAGCAGTAACCTAATAGTTCAAGAGCAGTCGTAGGCAGGGTTGGCCGAAGGGAAAAATATGATGTGACATATTGTTGGCAGGCGACATACACCCACTCCCAAGGAGGGACCTGCTGGTTCAAGAAAAGACATCAGAAAGCACAAACCACCTCAACACACAACAAGAGATCAGGTAGCCACATCTTAAAAGTCACAGTCCATCCATTTTCAGGCAAGGGCAGTTTTTCCAGTTAACTCTGCTGTTCAGAAAAGCACCAGCCCCCGGTGCAGCTTCACTGGATGCTGGCCATGCGTTTTGTCATCTCGGGAAATAAACAAGAGAGAGCAGTGAAGCAAAACAATCCACACTTCCATTCCTGCTTTTCAAACTCAATCAAATGTTTTTATCCATCTGTAGACTGCAACCTCCAATAATGTGTACTTATAGTGTTTTCTATTAATCAAATTGTTACACTTTTTTTTATAATAAAAAAATAAAGCATAAAAAGGCAAGACTTTGATTATGAGGCTGCCAAGACATGATTACACAATGATGGCCTTGGTTCGAGATGGAGACAGCACTTCCTATGCCGACTTCTGATAAGTGCTCAAAGGCCTGGTGTTCTGAAACAATGGGAAAGGGAATACAGGTTTAGCCCATTGACCAAGTCCCTAATCCTGACATTTGGAGCTTGTTTTTCACTGAAAGTAAATACAAGGTTGATTTTACCAGGACCTACCATTAGGTTACCAACACGGCATGTATCTTGTATTTGTGAACAGATTTAGGCAGAATGCAAAAGAAAGAGGAGGTAATCCAATTTTTAAGTACCGTTGAACAAAAAAATAGAGTGATAATGAATGTGTCTATGTAATATATCCCTTTATGAAAACACATTTCTGGTTTTTGAAATTACGTTCTACTCTAACTCCGTAAGAGTTAAAAGAACTAATTATTTATTGAATATGTACTATGAGCTATAAATTTTACAGATATTATTTCCTTAACTTTTTACAACTAAGTAGACATTATTATTGCATTTTAAGGTAAGACACCTGAAGGCAAGAGATAAAAAATGTGGTCAGTGTTATCAGACAGCTGGTGGTAGAGTTGAGATTCAAACTAGTCATGTTTAATTAAGAAACCAGAGTACTTTCTGTCATACGTTGTTGCACCATTTGTTAACAATATTGATTTTGAGTTCTAACATGTTTTCTTTCACTGCAGGTTGTCAAAAACATAACAATTATACATACTCCTCCATACATACATATCTATCTATCTATCATCTATCTATCTATCTATCTATCTATCTATCTATCTATCTATCTATCTATCCATTTATCTATCTACCTACCTACCTATCAATCTCCACAGTGTTGTGGTAAAGTACTTGAACTCTGGAGTGAAACCACCTACATTCAGATACCTTACACTGGGCAAGGTGCTTAGCCTCACGGACTCATTTTCCCATTTGTAAAACAATTATACTGATAGTGTACATAGCTTAAGAATGGTGTCTGGAACATTTTAAGCACTATGCAAGTATTAGCCATGACTATTATATTAATAAGGGTAAAACTTTTGAGTAATACCCATTCTCTCTTGGCTGGAATGATCTGGGCAATGAAGTTAGTGCTAAGGAGGTCAACATTAAAATTTACATCAATTTATATACCAGCCAGCTTTATTTCTGTTCCATGCCCATAGATTCTCTAACCCTACTCAGCTATTTTAATGAGTTATCATGGGTCAAAAGGACTTCCTAAATTAGGACAATTCTATGATCTCTACAAAATACATTACTAATGAAGGATCAGAGGGTGGGTTAGTTATGAAATAGAATATGAGCGTTTACTATTACAATAAAAGTACTGATATTATATACTCTTGTTAATAGCAGCGTTATTCACAAGAGCCAAAAGGTGGAGGCAACCCAGGTGTCCATTAATGGGTGAATGGATAAACAAAATGTGATATCTACATACACTGGAATGTATATATTCAGCTTTAAAAAGGAAGGAAATTCTGACATGTGCTACAACATGGATGCACTCTGAGGACCTTATACTATGTGAAACAAATCAGCCATTAACATTAAAAATAGTTAGGTGATAAATATTATGCTACATGTATTTTGCACAATTTTAAAAATTTTTAAATAGTAATTTCAATCATACCAACTATAGCCACCATGGTGGCCACCAATTAGTGGGAGAGTGTTTTGTTGTTTCTGATCTATAAGATCTGATGAAATTATCAATGCTTTTCACTGTCAGCAGCCAATCTCTGTGACATGCTGCAGCTGTTGTCTGCGCTTCTTAGTCCAAACAAGAGCCTGGGCCACCCACCTTTGGCTTTTGATTCTTTCCTAGGGGAACCTCAAATATGAGCCTTGCATGAAGGGATATATGTGGAGAAAACCCATGTGTGCACCCCTAGGTGGTCACCCTGCTGAACCCCTTTACATATGAGAGAATAAGTGGCAATACTAAAACTTTCCATACAGGTCAGTAATGTTAAATGTAATGGTTGTCAGATGGCATGTTTTTGTTTCTGATGATATCCTTGAAGCTTTAGGCAATATTCCAGGGCCTCTTTATTTAATTCCATGTTTCTGCATGGTGTATGAGTGGAAACTCTACAGGTTGAAACTTGGGAAATTCCCCCAAATAGGGAATGGCTGAACCCCTTCATTATTTAGGAACCTATTTAGATTCTTATGATCAATGATTTCAATATGAACTCTATAGGTTAGAATTGCTGCCTAGCAATTCTTTTAAAGTGTGTTTAAGTGTCACAAGTATGTGCAAATTACCAATCCTTCTTGTTTCCTAGGTGGGAAGAAGAAGGATGGAGGACAAGCAGGCCCTGTTTCAACATGAGTCACCTTCAAGGGCAGTATATTAATTAACGACTGATTATCCTTCAAAATAGTAGTATAGTGTAAGTACGAAACTATTTTACTAGTAACTATTCTTTTATTTAGACATTAGCATCAATTCTTTATTCTTCCCTCTGACTATGTGCATACTTACACACACACACACACCTGTTGAAGTGTGTGAGATAAAGTGTGTGTATAGTATATCTATTACATGGAACAATGAAATGTAATTGAAAACAACCACAACTCACGCCATCGGAAAGAGTGGAGACTTTGTCTCTGATATCCAGGACACCGACCATTACAAGCTTATTTCAAAGACAGCTTTCAAATAGCTTGTGGTTGGCTCTACAGAGATCGAAACACAAAGTGAAGGTTTTCACCCCAAATTTCTCAGGATTCAAACCCTTTTAAAAAGTAGAGACTCCCCCCTGAAGACCAAATGCCACCTGGTATTAGAAAAGGGCCAAATGACTGTGACCTGACTGCTACACTGTGTTGCTTTGGCCACATCTGGGACTTCCATTAGCACCCACCTTTTTAGGCCCATGAAGAGGACAGGGCAAATGTTGAAAGGGGAAATTGCTTTCAAAAGACTGAGATGAAAGAACTACTGGAATCAAATGGCTTACTGTAATGACTAATTCTCCTTTGCACAGTCCTAAGAAATGACCTACCCTTTAGCCTTCCAAAATATTACTTCCAGAATATCAACCTTTAGGGACTGGAGAGAAACCACAGCAGGTGAGACCATCGGTGTGATCGATGGGTCTTGATTAGAAAAACAAAGTGCCTCTGCCCCTTCTCAGCCCCCAGACTCCCGGCCATGGGAGGGCACAGCCAACGCTGAGCCTTCACTAAGAGAACTCTGAGTGCTGGTCCTCAGGCAACTGAGCTAAGAAACTGAAAGTGTTTTTGCTGGGAACTATTTTAGTAGAGGTCGTAATACTTTTAATGAGAAGGGGAAGCGGGAACTTCAAATAAAATTTCCCTTTTGAGTTCCACTAAGAACAGATGCTTGCTTTACTCAAGGAAAGATTTTGCAGGGGTGATTTCATGCATAGCTAAGAGCAGTGGTGGGGTTTTTTGACTGTCAAAGCAGGGGTTGACTTACATGACTAGGGCATTACCACTCCAGTGGCTTTCCACATATGTGATATTGAACACAGGTGTGTGTGCGCGCGAGAGTGTGTGTGTGTGTGTGTGTCGATAACACTGGAATCAAGTAAATGGACCACCCACCATTTTCTTGGCATTCTTGGGAATATTTGTAATATCCTCCAGTTATAGTAAAAGAAGCACTTTATACACAACGTCTCATTTAATTTTTGTCGCAATCCCATGAGATAGGCATTATTGTCCCCACTGTATAGATACAAAGTAGATGTTGAATAAACATGCTTAAAGATGTTGCATAACATGCTAAGGTAGCATAACCAGGAAGTGGCAGAGTTGGGATTTGAGCTGAGGAAGTCCAGAGCTTTGCTGTCAATCACACTCCTACAAGATAAGCAGCATACCTTGTACAGGCTGCATGAAGTCGCTTAGAAACCCTGGGTAACCATCTGCACAACACATTCACTAATCTTCTCCTTTACAAGGTGGACTCACAAGCCCAGGAAAGTGTGGCGCCCACTCCCTGCCACTTAGCCCAGTGCCCCTCTGCTTATGCTGGCTTCAGTCCTTTCCAAGGTTAGCCTTTGGCCCACCTTCTCCTCACAGCTCTGTTGGCCAACCCTCCCAACAGTGTGCCCTGAATAATAGAACCGGGCATAGGGTCCTTGCCCATCTTTCCTAGTAGAAAGGCTATCCCTTCATGCACTTTTAGAGATGTACCATTTAGGCAGCCATCGGCTCTTAGTCTCCTGCCCGATCTTCCCTTTAGCCAGAGCCCCACAATATCAAATCCTTTCAACAATTACATAATGAGGAAGAAAAAGTCACTTCACCTGGTAGTCATTAACTTTTTCTTTCCATCCCCTCCTGAATGTCTGCATCCTTTCTCTTCCAGCTCTTCAATTGGCGGGATTCTTTAAGAGGCTGTGCTGTATTTCTATGTCAAGATACACAGATGAATTGATAGATATAGATAGATAGATAGACAGATAGATAGATAAACAGATAGATAGAAAGATGAATTGATAAATAGAAAGATAGATGAATGGATAGATAGAAAGATGGATGCAGAGATGAATACATAGCCAAATGGATAGACGAATAGGTAAAGAGTTAGGTGAATGGATACATAGATGAATGCATAGATAATGAATGGATAGATAGGAAAATGTATGGATGGATAGATGGATAAATGGATAGATGAATAGGTAGATAGATGAATGCATAGATGAATAAATAGATATTAATAGATGGACAATAGATAAATAGATAGATGTATATTCATGGCTTGGGTCTTCCCAGAAGCACTCTGAGATAAGAATTCACATACAAGTAGGAAACACTGGTAGAGGAATAGAGAAGTGAGAAATAGGGAAGGGGAGAAAACCAATCATATCAGTCATATTTATCATTATCATTTCAGGCTGTACCTCAAATCCCCTGCATCAGAATATGAATTGTTAAAAGGACCCCTGAATGATAAGGTTTGTAAAGTACTGGCGGTGGTGGTTGTGTGTGTGTGTGTGGGGGGGGTAGATATGCCTCTAAGTTAATCAAATGAAAGGATAAGAAAACTGTGATATTCATCCACCAACTCCCCTATCTGGCATTGGTTGTGAGCTATTTCTGAAGTTCATTCTCCGGCACTTCTGACTTAGCCTCTGTGTGGGCAGAGCATTCACGTCCCAGTGGCCAGAAAGAAAGTCCCAAGACAGAAAATCAAAGATATCAGCATAAAGCAGCCCTTAGCGTGTGCAAGTAGCCCTAGCTATTGCAAGTTCAGCCATTATATAGTCAGATATGAGTATGATATTAAAGCTGAGGTTAAATTACAATAATAATAGCAGCCACAATTATAATGCTGACTCAATGTTCAAGATGCATTAAATAGATTGAAGCAAGCAGAATTTCATTTAGGCTTTTATTCTAAATAAGGCAGTTGATTTCCCTAGTAGAAAAATACCATTATCACAATTAACTTTAGGAGAATTGAAATAAATACATTATTTTTTACCCAGTAGTTATTTCAGGCCCTCTCAAGTAGGCCATGAATGAGGTCATGAAATAGCTTCTCATATTTTATTTGCTTATTATAATCTCTAATATTAGCCCTCCGGAGGGATATGGAGGTACATGACCAATGTTCTTCATTGCAACAGTGAAGTGTACACTACATTTATTCTGGAGTACATTCAAAAGCTGAAAATTATAGTGGAAAAAAAGACTTGACTCCTATTATAATGTTAAACACTGGTAAAGACATTTGGATGACATCCAGTAAAATCTATGACTGTTCCCAGACATAATAATGTAACGACACCAGAAAAGCAGTATCCATAAAAATGTTAGTTCTGTTACCCGATACTTGTATTTTAAAGGGGTATCAGAGTACTATATAGCATATTGTATTTATTCAAAAAAATTCAATCCAAAATGTTTAAATCAACTTGGAAAAAAATTAACAGAATTGTAACTTCTTAGAAACATGGAACTTAAAAAAATCCTGAAGACTTTTATACTTAAATAATAGAACTATGAAAAGTGTGAATTCAACATTTTTGGACATGACAAGATATATTAATTTGTGAGCTCAAATTATAAGTGTAACACTTGAACTTCATCAAGTATCATTGAAAATAAAAATAAATTAGCTGTGTATCCTTTTATAAATTTTTTGTTCAAGACAATGCCAAATGAATTTTAAAATATTATAAAATTACACTTATTCATTTATTAACCAACTATTCAAATTGAAAACCAAATTTAAAACTCAGAAAATAAAAAATTAATGCATATGCTATATTCTTAACTTATGTAATTAATAAAATCCTACTGAATATACTTTATGCCTCTTGTCCCTCTGGTTATCTCCCCTCTGTCTCTTTTCTTTCTTCCCTTTAGCTTCCAAAAGCAGCAAAAGTAATTTTACATCTATTGAACAGGTCTCTCCTGAGTCCACCGAGCACAGTGTTTTCTGTGCATTTCATCACATTACAAATTAGCTGGCTTATTACAAAAGTCTGGTTGAAATCCTGCTTTTGCTGAAGTTGTCTGTCTCTTCATCTACTGCTCTGGCCAGAGCACTCAGGAAGACATTAGAGACTGTAAGTCATTTATTTATTTATAGCATGGTTGATAGACTCATTGATATTATATATGAAAAAGCTCTGCCAAATTTGACAATTTACTCCTTACTCTATCCTAGATTTTAGGGTTTTTTTTTAATTGTTTGGAACAATTGATGTTCCAAATGGGGTAGGAGAAGGGATTTCTTATTCTCAAAGAAATAAATTATTCTCCCTCCCCTTGAGGTATGTGTAGGAGAAAACTTGTAGGCAGGAGGAGGCAGGAATACAGGCAGGGAGGATGGGATTACTTGCTACCATTGCCTCGGTTCTGAGACTAAAGTTAGGAAGTGTGCAAAACGTCACTAATCTTTGGGATGAGAATAAATCTTTGAATACTAATAAATCTATTTTGTATCAAAAACTAAATGAGTTCCGGACCAGTGCTGTTTAATAGAAATGTAATGTGAGCCACAAAAGCAAGCCACACATGCCATTTTAAATGTTGTAGTAGCTGCATTTAATTAGTAAAAAGAAAAAGGTAAAATTAATTTTAATAGGATGTAATTTAACCCAATATGTACAAATGTTATAATTATTAACATTTAGCATTTTGTTTTTCATAATAAATCTTTGAAATCAAGTGTGAATTTTACACATGCAGCGCATATTAAGTGCTCCAAAGCCACCAAGCTGGTCACCTCAGGTCTAAACAATCTATTAAATGAACCATATTGCCTTTAAAATATTTGCAGGATCTTTAACAGCCAGACCAAAAGCACTGACTGAAATTATGAAGGTGAAACTGCATTTTTATTATTGTGAGGTCTGACCTCTGTCATTTATACTTACAACTCCAGCCGCCTAACAGACTTTTCTCTAAGGATTATTTTGTCATCCAATTCAATTTCACAGACTCTCATCTTCTAAACACATGCCTGAGCAGCATCACACCCCTCGCTCACACATGCACACATCCCAGCCCACTGGAGTGTCCCGACCTCTAGTCTCTGGGAATTGCCTTGGAAATTAGGAAAATACTTTAATTCTGATTGCCTTTTTTTTTTTTTTTAACGCAGAAAGCAGTATCAGTATGTTCTGCTTTAAAATACAATCTGCCTATGTCAAAACTTTATCTAGGTCTTGGGTGGCCACAAGAAAGATGCCAAGGAGCAAATGGCTCTATTGTTTGAAGTTAGACAGTTGGCCCTCTGTATCTGTAAGTTTCACATCCACGGATTCAGCCAAGCATGGATTGAAAATATTTTAAAAAAAGAATGGTTGCATCTGTACTAAAAATGTACAGACTTTTTTTCTTTGTATTATTCCTTAAACAATATAGTGTAACAACTATTTACACAGCATTTACACTGTATTAGGTATTATAAGTAATCTGGAGATTGTTTAAAGTATCTGAGAGGATGTGCATAGGTTATATGCAAATTATTCTTCATTTTATATAAGGGATTTGAGCACCCATGGCAGAGAGTGGTCCTGGAACCAGCCCCCACAGATACTGAGGGTCGACTGTATATGCTAGGACTCATTTCTTTATGTGTTCTTGGCCTCTGGTCAAATTTTGAAATTAGAAAAGAGATTAAGGGCAGCTTGTCACTTCTATACATAATAATATATATTACCATCCCTGTGGGGGCTGTCTAAGCACACTAGACTGTAATTAGAGAAACATCTCATCCTTATTACGGATCTCGATTGTGATGTTTCTGGGACTCAACATCTGTCCCGAAATGAGTCACCTGTGAGATGACCCAGGAAGAATAAGGTGTATTTGTACATCACACTTCCAGAGAGATCTCAAGGAGCATTGGACTGACCTCAGACAGAACTCAGAGTGCCAACATTTATCCTGACTGTGCTTAGGGAACCCCCTATGACCCAGTGATATTCTAGTTTAACTTGGGAAATACCTTACTGCAAGTTATTGCCCTAAGGATTGCATGAAGGGTTGGGGTGTGGAAGTGGGTAGGTAGAGAATTAGCAGCATGACTAAGACCCATGAGTAGGGGGTGTGTTTCTTCAAGTGGAGGTGAAGACTTTTGCTTCTGTGGTTTAAGAAAGAAAGACCTTCCTAGAGGAAGGTAGACCCTAGATCAAGGGGCAAGATTGGTTATAATGTAATATATCTATGAAGGGTTTGACTCTGAGTGATTTTCTCTTGGACTATTAGTCTTGTGAAGCATATACTATTGATTAATTTCCCTTCTATATTATATTCCTTTATAGCTATTTAATAAAAAGTCTCGTGTGATGAAATAAAAGCAAGACCAGCTGCATAATTTGCAGGGCCAGTGGAAAATTAAAATGTGGGAACTCTTGATCAAAAATTAAGAATTCCCACAAAATGTGCTATGTATATACAATGGAATATTATTCAGCCCTAAAAAGGAAGGAAATTCTGACACATGCTATAAAATGGATGCATCCTGAGGACATTATGCTAAATGAAATAAGCCAGCCACAAAAAGACAAACACTGTATCATTCTCCTTATATGAGGCACTTAGAGTAGTCAAATACATAGAGACAGAAAGTAGAACACTGGTTTCTAGGGGCCAAGTTGGGGGGAGGGGAAATGGCAGTTGCTGTTTAATGGAGATAGAATTTCTGTTTTGCAAGGTGAAAAGAATTCTGGTGATTGGTTGTGCAACATGGATGTACTTAACGCTACTGAATGTACACTTGAAAGTCAATAATATGGTGCTATGGTTTGAATATGTTTTGTCCCCACTAAATATCATGTTGAAATTTGATCCCCAGTGTGGTGGTGTTGGGAGGTGGAGGCTAGTGGAAAGTGTTTGGGTCATGGGAGTAGATCCCTAATGATTAGATTGATGCCCTGCCTCAGGGGTAAGTGAGTTCTCACTCTCTTAGTTCCCATGAGAACTGGCTGTTAAAAAGAGCTTGGCAGCTCCCCCCTTTCCTCCTCTCTCTCCATTTGATCTCTGCACATGCTTCTCCCCTTTGTCTTCTGCCATGAGTGAAAGAAGCCTGAGCCTGACCAGAAGCAGATGTTGGCCCATGCTTCCTGCACAGCCTGTAGAATTGTGAGCTAAATAAACCTCTTTTCTTTATGAATTACCCAGGCTCAGGTATTCTTTTATAAAAACACAAAATGGACTAAGATAAATGGCAAATTGTATGGTATGTATATTATACCACAATTAAACATAAAATTTTTAAAATTTTAAACTTTTAAGAATTTCAAGATGGCAATTGCAGACATTAAACCCAGTTTGAGCTCCTTTCAAATGTGAGGTCCTTTGTGACTGCACAGGTTGTACACCCATGAAGCCGGCCTTGGGTAAGAGGGACAAACTAATAAAAGGAAATGTGGCCTTTCCAAGATTAGTTTCTGTCTGATTCCCAAGTGGTGGTAGCAGCAGAGGACAAATAGAAAACACATAGTAGACGGTATCTTTAAACCTAAAATATTAATAAGCACATTAAATGTAAATGATGTAAACATTCTATATCAAAAGGCAGAGATTGTCAAGTTGAGTAGAAAAGCAAAACTCAATGATTTGCTGCCTAGCAGAAACACATTTTAAATACAAAGATACAAACAGGTAAAAAGCAAAAGAAAAGAAAAATATTTACCACACAATCACATTAATCAAAAGAAAACTAGAGTGGCTACATCAATATCAGCTAAAGTAAATGTCAGAGCACAGAATATTACCAGGGATCATGAAGGTCCATATACAATGATAATGGGGTCAGTTTCTAAACAGAACATATAAACTTTTTTCAGCTGATAACAGAACCTAAAAATACACGAAGCAAAAACTGACAAAACTACAAGGATAAATAGACAGCCCATAAGTATACCAAGATATTTTAATATTCCTCTCTTAACAATTGATAGAATGAGTAGACAGAATATTAGTAAAGCTATTAAAGACCTGAGCAACCCTATTAACCACCTTAACCTAACTGACACTTTAAAAACTCTTCACCAAGTGTTAGAAACACTAAGGGAGGAATGCACAAGGCCAAGATGAAGGAAAAGAAAGTTTATTTTAACGTCTGTGTACAGACAGGCTAACTCCAAGATGACATCAGCTCCCAAATGGTGGGCAGCTAGGGCTTTTATAGTCCCATTTAGGCAGCTCTCAAAGGGGTGGAGTTTGGGTGGGCCTCAAAGGGGGTGGGGCCAGATTAAAGGGAAAGTTCCCCTGGAACCTCCCACTAGCCTCTGAGTTCAGTCTAACACCAAGTGGCAGCAGAAGACACACTTTTTAAAATTATAAACTAACTGTTTACCAGGATAGATCATATTTCAACTTGCAAAACAAGTCTCAATAAATTTGAAAGGATTCAAGCCATACAAAATAGATTCTCTGATTGCAATTTCCAGAATTAAACTGGAAATCAGTAACAGAAAAATCTTTGAACATCCACAAATATTTGGGAACTAAATAACAGACTTCTAAATAATGCATGGGTCAAAGAAGGATTCAAAGGAGAAATTAAAAAGTAATGTTAAAAGAATAAAAATAAAAATACAATGTATCAAAATTTGTGGGCAGCTACTAAAGCAACACTTCAAGGGAAATTTACACCACTTCACAAGTGACTTAGGAAAGAGGAGGGGCCTCAAATCAAGAACCTCAGCTTTTACCTTACTGGGCCAGAACAAGAAGAGCAAATGAAACTCAAAGTAAGCAGATAAAAGGAAGTAGGAAAAATCAGAGCAGAAAGTAATAAAAATAAAAAAACAGAAAAACAATTAAGAAAATCAATAAAACCCAAAGCTATTTCTTTAGGATAATAAAACTAACAAAATGCTAGTCAAACTGTTCAGAAAAAAGAAGACACAAATTGACAATATTAAGAACAAAAGAAGTGACATAAATAAAGATTGTGTGTATATTAAAAGAATAGGAAAAGAATATTAGGAACAACTTTATGTCAAATGTCACAACTTGGATTAAATAGACAAATTCTTTGAATGACAGAGATTACTAAAACTGATTCAAGAAGAAATAGATCTGAATAGACCTACATCTATAAAAGAAATTAAATTTGTAGTTTAAAACTAAGAAAGGAAGTTATGGCCCAGATGACTTCACCAGTGAATTCTACAATTCTAACAACAAATGAAAAGGGTAACACACCATGACTAAGTGAGATTTATCTCAGGAATGCAAGGTTGGTTTAACATTTTAAATACACCCAATGCAACTCACCAAAATAACAAAACAAAACAAAGCAGAAAAAGAAATAGCCTCTGACAAATTGAACCTCCATTCCTGTGAAAGTATTTCATCAAACTAGCAGAATAAGGGAATTTCCTCAACCTGATAAAGGGCATCTACAAAAAAATCTACAGCTAACATCAAATTCAATGGTGAAAGACTGAATGCTTTCCCCTAATATTAAGACAAAGGCGAGACTGCTTGCTTCAACCACTGCTATCCAATATTGCATTGGAGATTATACCATGGTAACAGGGCAAGAGGAAGGAATAAAAGGCACTAATATTGAAAAGGAAGAATAACTTTTCTTTTACCGGCCATGTGCTTGCCTATATAAACAATTCAGTATAATATACAAGAAAGCTACTAGAACCAATGAGTTATTTAGCAAGTTTGCAGAATACAAGATCAATATATAAAATTTAATTGTATTTCTATAAACTAGGAATGGTCAATTCGAAATTGAAAAAATTTTAAAACAACATCATTTACATAGAACAAAAAATATAAAATAGTTAGGGATAAATCTGACAAAGGATTTCCCTGAAAATTATGAAACTTTGGTGAAAAAAATTATAAGAAAAAATGAATGATGAGAGAGACTTTGCTCATGGGTCAGAAGATTCAATATTGTTAAGATATCAATTTTCCCCAAATTGCTCTATAGAATCGATGCAATCCCAATCAAAATCTCAGAGATTTTTTTTGGTAGAAAATGAAAGCTGATTCTAAAATGCATCCAGAAATTCAAATGACCTAGAATATCCAAAGCAAATATGGGAAAGAAGGACAAAATTGAATGCCACTACTTGATTTTGAGCTGTAGGCCATTACAAGCGAGCGTAAGAATAGGGACAAATCCTTAATAGTAAGTTTCCCCACAGTATCTTCAACTAAAAGAGTGTTAAACATCTGCTGTGTTGATATATAGTAAGAGATAAAGTAGATTGTTGTGGCGTCACATAGACCGGCAAAGTAGCAAATTGACTAAGGCCACTTAATATTTGCTGGATGTAATCAAAATCAGTCAGGTAGTGAAGGGTCTTGAATGTTAGGGCCACGTTAGAA